GTATTTACCTTCCACTCACATAAATAGCTATCTTTTTCAGTGCTGCCCTCTATATGCAATTTTTTTGCACATGCCACAAGCCTTAAAGCTCCCACCCATTTGGAAATGACTGATTCCCATGCATCTTGCATGCAAAACATCATGTAACAATCCTCCACCAATAAGAGTGTGACATATTATTTTGATGCATGTGATTCCCTCTATTCAATTCTACTAAACTATCACCTCGAGTTTTGGAAGAAAATGGAAGCACCAGTTTTCAGTGGGGAGGAAGGGTGGGAAATGTGATAAGATGTAAGTACCTATCGGAAATAAATTTACATTTACATTTAAGGATAGGCAAGTTATAACTTTCGATTTGGTACATTACCTCTTCTCACATAAATAGGTAGAATCCCACATTGAACAGGTGGAGGAACTGGTGAAAGGCATCTGAAGGACACTCCTAAAGAAGAGATCTTTGGAGTCTAAGATCATCTAAGATATACAATTTGCCTAGTGTGGAAAAAGGTGTCACAGATAGGGAGTAGCACCACCAATAGGGAGAGAACTATGGTTGGATAGGGATTCAAACCACACGATACATGAATCTCAATAGCATAATACATAAATGTGGGTGAGGGTAAAAGGATGTTCCTTCAGGTGTAGTGTGGCTAGGCCACGATGGACTGTATGTGGCAAGTCAACTACATCCAGGCCACTGGTAACCAACATCCATGCAGGGGTAAAATGAGGATTATACCACTGGCAAGTTGCCTACAATCCAAAATACAGGCCACCGGGAATAAACATCCATCTGGAGTAGGAAAGAAGATCATACCATTTTCACCTCAAGCTCATGAGACCAGAGGGAATCTCATACCCCTGACCTATGAACAAGACACATGATAGCAATGTGAGAAATTGATCGATTGATCCAGGAACCCGACATTCGGCATCGAAAAGATGTCTTCGTAATTTCAACCATCTCACCCAAAATCAAAATGACAGGATCCACCCCAAGTGCAGTAACATCCTTGGAATAATAAGAACTTTCAGGGATAGCTGAAGAGAAAGAACCATATTAATCTGCAAGTACCTCCACCGTGATCCACAACATGAATGAAGTAACAAGAGTATAATTAAGTGAGGAAATATAGACATCTGTAATACATGTGTTAGGACTTATGTTGATTGGTTCAACTCTAAATACAAAACCCAGCCACTGGGAACTGACATCCATGTGGGGATAGGATGAAAGATTCCAATTGAAAGGGTGAACTGCAATTTTGCCAGCTCCCTCTCAAGATATATAAAATGGAGATCAACTCGTCATCTGTAACAGCAGAACACCATTGCCCTACTCTCAACTGAATGGTTTATATATTTTTTCTCATTATCTCATTCAGGATGATGTCTCCATGGTCCACCACACAGGCAGCTTGGAACTCCACTATAAGAAAAGGGAGGAGAAAGCATGATGGAGAGTCCAGAGGAATCGCAACACCTGAGACAGTGCAATGGGTGACCACAAAACCCTATTTTGAAAAGCAGACTATATCGATTTATTCAATACAAGGCATGGCAGGGATGGGCAGTTACCCCCTTCTGCTTTACCCATGTAGTCCATGGGTGAGTAGTCAGGGATGGGCAAACTAATAAAGTAAACATATTGTGAGGATAAACATTAAAGTGATCTTGTGGAACATCCAATCTCAGCAGTGTGTGTTTAGTGGCCATGGAATTATAATTGACTAGTTTAAGTATATCTGGACAGGCACCACTCACCACAGAGTGGGATCCAAGAAGAAAAAGAGGGACATGGGAGAAGTTAGTGCACACCCTGGCTCAAGGGTTTCACATAAACCAAGTTTATATGAAGAAGAATAAAAGACAAATAATAACGAAAATGAAATAACCCATGTATGAGATGTGATGTATCGAGGAAAAACAATAGTTAAACAAATGATTGATATACTAGTAAGATGAATTACAGGTAATCCTAAAATAACAAAGTACCCTGGTATCATTGGTATAGGAGAAAAGATACAACTAAGCCTAATTTCTAATCTGAACTGACCTATAGAGCTCAAATAACTACAGATAATAATATTAAAAATAAAATTATTCAAAAATCATAACAAATCATCTTTCCAAAGTCAGCAGACTATATGTACAAATGTGTGGGCCCACAAACTCGAGGTGAGATCCAACAAAGGTCAGCTCATTGGATGATCCATCTCCCAATGAAGTAAAGCTGAATATCTTCCCGCGGAGTACCACTATCTGAAACCTGTTTAAATGTGCTGATAGAACATATAACCTCCAAAGTGGTAACGTATAATTCATAATGCAAAATTAATAACCGAATATAACTGTGTTGGCAGAAAGAAATAAAAAGTTTCTGTAATGAAGTAATAAGTTACATAACTGAGTAGAAATATAAAATAATTCCACTTCAGAATAACTCAACAAGTTACGAATGTCACTATTGTATAATAGAGAGTAAACTTGTTAAGAGAAGTTAATACAAAGATATGGAAAAAAATTAAAATAAGACACTTGAAGAGTACTGCCAAATGAGAAGTGATAGTTCGGTAGAATTGAATAGGAGTGACATGCGTCAAAAGAGTATGTCACACTCTTATTCGTGGAAGGCTGTCGCATGATGATTTGCATGTGAGATGCATTCGAATCAGTCAATTCCAGATGGGTGGAGCTTCAAGGCTTGTGGCACTGAAAGAGAATAGCTATTTATGTGAGCGAAGGTAATGTACCGTATCGAAAATTATTTCACAATGTTGAGGCGACGTGGTAAAAACAAGCAATGTGACATAATAATAATCACAATACAGGTAAACTGAAAACTGACATCATTAATACAAACAAAATCAAGCCTAGGTTTTTAAAATTAATTTATTCTTGAAACAAAATCTTGAAATGAGGTTCTACTTGCTGATATCATGAAAAGAAGTCACAAAAGACAAAACTTTAAATTGACAAAAACAAATTAAGAAATTTATTTCCTCAGTAAAAATTAGGAAATTGTATATTTTTCATTTCAAAGTATAACAGAAGTTAATGGTCTCTCACTGTTATAATTAAACACAAACTATTATTACATTCAATAAAAAATACAATTACCAAATGTTAATTCTTTTGCACATTGTAAAGTACAGGTAAAAAATCTGTCTTTGCTGCCTAATACACATACAAATGATTCAATTCTGTAGATAAATGCTCTTACTTTCAGGTAACAGTATAAAAAAAACATGGAATTATTTTTGTTGGTACCTCAATTAAACAGTTACTTCTAGGTAATGTGCATATTTATAACTTATCAAAATATAATTCACAAAAATATTTTTTGTGCAATATAGCCCTGTTCAAGTAAGAAATTCACAGAAAACATCTTTTTCCATCATATTTTCATAATGCACGCAACAGAGGATTAAGTATGTAATTAACATCTCTATGTTGTTGCCTACTGTTAACAAAACATATTGAGTTTATATTGTAGTTTAGAAAGTAATATTAATACAAAAATGAAATATATAATAATAATCCCCTGTGACCAAAACATGTAGTTGAAATTCATAATAAAGAATTTCTGAAAAACATTTAATAATTTTCTATTAATTATTAAAATATTTGAAAAAATAAAGACATTTGTACATATATTTTTTTAAACCCTAACTTCATAATATTCATGAAATAATTAATTTCTTAGCATTGAATTTCAAACTATATGTGAAATAACTTCCTTTTTCTGTGGGTATTCTCTGTAAATGTTATATAGCAAAAACAGCAAATACATGTAAATACAAAATAAAGCAAAATTATTTAACACATATACTTCTATGGCATTTTCAGTTTTATTTCACACTGTAAAGCTACTTGGAATTAATTAAACGTTAAATATGTGTCAGAATTTAAAAATCTGATATTCACCAATTGTCAGAATTTAAAGGCTTTTAGTTAGATTTCTTAATAGTATAAATAAATACTATGTTGTTGGGCTTAAGATTCTTTTACAATAGGTGTCTGTAACTTGTTAGCGATAAACTCAACTATAAATGAACAGCACGCAATTTACTTGTTTTCAAAATAATATACATATATATATATATATATATATATATATATTTGGAACAAGTTAAACATATGTACAACAAATTCTTCCTACTGTAGAGATTATAGGCTTATCACAAGCACTATATATGTAGTTCTCTTCTTCTTGTCAAAAGTCCACATAGGCCTATTCAATTATTTTAGAATTTCAGTTCACAAGCCAAGCTATCTTCTCTATTACTATCGCTCTAGTATTCTGTGTGTGATTCACTGACAATTGTGGCGCGAGTTACCGTAATCCTTTGGTCTTCTTTCTTCTAAAGATCCTCTGTTCCTTTTGTCAAAGTGCACTCTGGCTGATTCAATTACTTTAGAACCATACTTTGATGGAATAAATTATTTTTCTTATCTCCTTTTCTACTGTTTGTCTTACTCTAACATATTAAACATTAGGCCTATAACTTCTACAGTAGTTAACTTCATGCCAAACTTTTCTTGCCTGTAACTTTTCTCTCTTTTCTGCTAATATCAGTCTGTCTGTCTTCTATATTTTCGATGTCAATGTATTGCACACGATGTTCAATAGTCTCAACATTAATGAATTATTAAGAAAACCTCCTACAATCGTCTGCCTTTTACTCTTATTATAACAAAAACTAATGAATAATAAAATATTCACTCACAAAAACAAATCAATCAACAACATCTAAACTAAACAGTTTTTTATATCATGACTATATAAATGATCAAAACAGTTTATTATATGGAAGAATTGAGAAAGCTTACAAACCTTTTCTCCACTTGGGAGTATGACTTGAAAGACTTCATCCCAAAGGAGAATGCCTGTGGTATCTCTTTCTGAACCACCTCGCCATGAGAAACCTGTAAGAGGAGTTTCATCATCTCCCATCCAATCTGGTGATCCCTGTAATTTTATAAAACACATGCTGTACAAATCTGAATACTTTTAAAATACATAACTCCAATGTATCAAGTCAGCCAATGAAAATTTAATCTTTAAATATCTAACTATTTTCTTTATGAATGTGTAAACAACTTGGCCACCTTTGGTTCAATTAATCCTGAATAACAGACAAAATTATAAAACACTGCACACTCATTATGATGCTACTTGATCTAAAAGAGTACAATCATGAGGTGAACATAGCAGACAATACTTTATGTTTGTGTGCACAAGCATATGAAAAACAATCTTTTTAAATGAATTTACCAAATCAATAATATTTCATACTTCTTTTACTGCTATAATTAAACTTTTAAAATAAATTTTAATAATTGACACATTCTAATAGAACATTACTATTTTCATCTTAGTACATTTATACTTCTCAATTAACAAATGTTCTTGTAGTCAAAAATGACATCAATTTACCATAGGCATACATACACTAGCTGAAAAAATATTTAGGTAAAAATATGTCGCAATGAAATCATAGTTCTCTCTAAAAACAAAACTTCAATGGCAATATTCATTGTATAGTTTTTAAAGACAATGTATAATATTTCAGATAAATCACTAGATCATAATTTCCTTCATCAATTTCACATATGAAAGTTATGTACAATAAAACTTAATTACAAACTGATGTAAACAGATCAGGATAATAAAAAATCTGTCTTCAATATGGATTAACCCCAAGAACTTTGGCTCTCATTAGTTTTCTGAGGTTGAAGCTCAGTCAACTGAGTTAATAGCAGGACTATATGTAAGCAGACAATTCTCCACCCTTACCACTGTAATAATATAGTATAAAACTACTTAAATTATCAGGTGAGTACTATAACAAAACTAACCTGCTAAAAGAAGTTAAGGCATTACATACAACCTCCAATTACAAGCATGCAAAACATTTACATTATCAGTCGTTGACATATTTTAACATTATATATAGACCGTTAATTTTCAAAGAAAATAGTGCAAAAATGTATTGTTAGAAATTCACTTCCATAGTTTTTCATCAAAGCAAATTTTGTAGAGAAAAAAATTCCATCATGATAAGTGTTGTGCAAGGATTGATCTAGGACATACACTGTTATAAAATTCAAATCATTAATTTTGTTATTTGTACATTTATTTATTCTTTTGTAAGCATCTAATCTTGCAGTGTTATTTTACATGAATATCAACATTCATTTTAAATAGCCACTGTTTAATTTTCATTGGCTATTATTTCTAAATACTCTAAGGAAAGTGTGCAATATTTACTGTTTGTACAGCACCTAATTAACAGCTGATAAGTCTCAAAATAAGCAGAAAACTACATTTCTCATGGCAAGAAACATTTCATATGTAATAAGCACACAAACACACGGGTACTTTAAATCTCATGTCAATTACCTAGTAATTTCCTGGAGTGTTGAAACATTTCTTTTTATATAAGTAGTTATGTTTTTGGTTTGTTTGTTTTTTAATATGGTGTTCAAATATGCTGAAATATCAAACCTCTCCATTGTTATTTATCAGTAATGAAATTTGAATTTTAACTAGCTTAATGTTAAGTCAGAATAAAAGTAAAACAATGCAAATAAGTTAACCCCTCAAAGAAATCATAATTACTTCAGATGTAGTAGTCACTCTAGTGAAGCTAATGTCAATGATTTTTTTTCACAAACAGTATCTCTGCTAATCTTCAAAGATACCATGAAACAGAATCATAGTAAAAACTACACAAAACTGACAATTAGTTTAGAGTCAGATATCTTCTTACAATTAAGTTTTCCAAGAAACTGTTGAGAAATATTTATAAATGACAATAGGCTATAGTATTATAAATGTTTACATCTTTCTAAACTATCTATTTCTGATAGATAATTCCACACACAGAATATCTATATCACTCATGTTTGTTTATGAAACTTGCATGCCACTAGCCTTGAGCAAACTCTCACTTAAAATTCACATGACTAACATGAACTGCACTAGTGCATAATGAAGTCATCATGTAACAACAGCCCTCCACCAAAGGGAGGGTGACACAACCTCCGTTTGCAGTAACTCCCCTTGCACTTGAAATAATATCATTCTTTGATTAGGCAAGAAGAAAGCACATCACAAGTGGGAAGGTTGGGTAGGAAGGTATGAAGAGGTATCTATCAGAAATACATTTTCAGATTAGGAAAAACGTTAACTTCTGATACAACACCTCACCTCCTCACACAGAATAGCTAGAATCCGATATTGAATTGGTGAAGGAGTCAGTGCAAATTTATAAACCTAAATGAGCTCCCTTCAGAAATCATCTGAGGGAGAAAGCCCATGGAGTGTGATATCCGTGGGAGACTGCATCTTATCTAAACCAAGGTATACTCTTCACCTGTATGGTAAAGGGGGAGAAGCAAATAAGACTCAAGTGTCTCAGGGATGAGCAGAATGAGAACATGGCTATCTGTCAGTGAGACAACATGTGTAGTGCAATTGGGACATGATCAGAAATGCTGAGTGTGCCCATCTCTACTGAACTGGACAGACTGAGGTTACAGAAGAGGACACATCAGCTGTTTGAGGGACAGCCTGTACTACACCAACAGTGCCACCAATGCCATACTTCTCACCATAATGTACTGAGCCCAATGGAACTCTCCAATGTCCACCAACCCAGCAGCTTAAAACTGGTGAGTTGCAAGGGTCTCCCATGCTCCACTTGAAGAGTGGGAAGGGGGGGGGGGGTTTACATTGAGGACACCCAGAAAAGTGCCTGGATCCCTATCAGCCTCATGCTGGAAAGGTCTTTTACTAGATACAGTAAAACTGGTGACTGCAAAACCCTATATTTAAAAGCTGGCAAGTGCAAGGCAAAGAAGTGAGCAGTCACTTCCATGTTAGTCGAACAATTAAGTAATAATTCATACCACAAGGATACCTCCAGTGGACATGCAGAACACCTCATCTTGACAGTAGGCATTGGTAGAGCCAGGGCAGATGGGTTAAATGCTTTTTGTTACCACCTGGTTGGCTCATGTTAGATGGAAATGGGGGATAAAAAGAAAATTTACTTACCCAGTTCAAAGACAGTGAGCTGAATGAGTTGATGCAGGTCTAACAAGCACAGAGGTGAGAGATAGAAGGACGGAAGTTAGGAGAGAAAGAACAGCCACCTTTCCAGCAGATAAAGTCTTAGGAATAAAGGACCAGTCTAAGTAGAGAAGCAAATAAGTGTGGTGAAATAGTGTGTGAGAAGTGTTAATGGCATGGCACAGATGTTTCAACAACAACAACCATAATGAGAAGGAAGGAAGTTTTAATAAAAAGATGATATAAGGAGTGTGTAGCTAACAGCTCAAACAGGATATGCGAGAGCATGCAAAAATACATGAAGGTTTCATTCAGGCATAGGAACCAGGTGAAGCAGTTGGTAAAGAAGGAAGGATCAAAACAGAGTAGAGAGGGCAGGGGAAGAAAACACACTGCCATAACCAGAATGCAAAATGTCGTGGGCAATGTCACCTAATAACCAGAGATGGTTATAACTGACAAACCATGATCGAACTACCAAGTGAAAAAAAAGACTGAAAGGAGGGATACAGTAAGACAGCCAGGAGAAAGGGAGTGGACAATGGATCAATGATGAAAAACCCACAAAATCCGCTGACAGACAGATAAAGTGGAAGAATAATTGGAATAGGATAGGTAGAAGGCTACATGCTCAGAAAGACCAACCCAAGTGGGATGGACTGGACAAGTCCCATATGTGAATATTAAGGGATGATATCCCTAGATGTAAAAGGGACATGTGAGGTTGGAGCAACAGGTAAGGGACACAGAGCAGAGAATGGGGGAAGAGGTCTGGACACCAATCAAAAAAGCAGAAGAAACCAGAGTTGAGCTGGCCAATGAGGAACCACCAAGAGGACAAAACAAGGAGTGTCTTGTAACATGGAAAGGATGCAAGAGAGAAGATAAAGAGGAGGATAAACATATATTAAAAGGTGAAACCAGTCCTGGCTGAGAGTATCAAGAGCCAGAGCCAAAGGATGAGAAACTGAAGACCAGAATAGGGGAAGCTCGGAGTTGAGAGGTATGACAAACTCATTTATGAGAGGTGCCCAACTGAGATCAAACCCAACAAAAGACCTTGGCAGAACACAATCTGGTTCAGAGAGTTGATTCTCCACCAGGTTCAGAGCTTCTGGCACATGACATCTGATTAGATAAACTTGATGGAAATAAGTCAGAAGAGGAGATCTAGGGCCCTGAAAGCAGAGAGTCCTGGAACAGATGCCTCCTTGACTGTGGAATTGTCAGAGTGGATCATGACCTACAAGGAGTTCAAGCATGTTGATTTGGAGCAAACACTTTTCCTGTGCCCAAATGCTAGAAGTCATGCTGTCATTCAGACACACATCAACCTGAGAGGGAAGCATTTGTGAATAGATGGATATCCAAATGGGGTGTCCACTGTGGTATTGGCATGGTCAAGCCACCAAGAAAAGTCCTCAAGAAGAGGAGAAGAACAGTTGACTATCAAGGATAATGGATCCCAAAAGAGGTTCCAGTGGTTGTGCAAAGTCTACTGGAGGAGGGACATGTGTGCACAACACAAGAGAATGAAGGGTTCCAGTAAAGTCAGCATCCCCAAAAGGAAAAGAACCTCCTGTGCACTGTGAAAGTACGATACATAAATTTTGGTGACTAGACATTTCATAGCTCACAGGCACAGAGAAGACGACTGAGTACAACTGAGATGAGGGTTGAACTCCCTTGCAGATGTATTAAATATTGTGTAGACATGAGAAATAACTCGGAAAGCTGACCAGCTTCTTGCAGAAGAATGACTCCTCACAAGATAAGGATAGGATATGCTAATTGTCCATTTAGATAAAGAATCTCAGCCCCAGACCATGAATTACCCAATGGAAGACATAAGGAGTTGATACTATGCCAAAGAGAAGCACACAGAACTCAGATACTCGATTTCAACAGATGAAGCACAGAAAAAGTCTGAAGGATGAGGTAATCAGGATATGAAAAAATGTGTATGACACCTTGACCTTGATCATTCACAGTCTTTTCCACCCAAAAATAAAAGAAATTCTCCATTTGGAACCATGGCATGTCCAGAAACTGGTTGAGAGAAGATAGAATGGCAAGGGAATTCCAGTTCCTGCTCTTCTTGGGGACCACAAAGAAGTAAAATTAAAACCCCAGAGTAGGGGAGTATACCTTCTCAATTACATTTTTGGCGGAAATATCCTAGACCACATTCTCGAGACATTGAAGATAAACCAGGTCTGAAGGAAGAGGAAAGAGTGGAAAGACAGACCAAAGGTAAGAACATGAAGATAAGGAGGAGGTAGGTAGACAGTAAAGAGATGTACATTCCAACCCAACAGCAGAGGAACCAAGTAAGAAGGAAAAGAAAAGTTACAGGCCAAGGACGGGGCATGCTTCATCAGAAAACCCCTCTGGAGTGGAATAAAGTGCTTCAGACACAAGTCAGATGAATTAGAGGTTATGGAGAAGTGTGGTAAAAAAATACATTAATGTGAAAACAGGACACTACAGAACAAAATAGAAGACAAGAGTTCTGCTCCCCAAACAGATAAAAGAAATTTGAAAGATTGGAAATTGAGAAAGAGGAAGGAAACATGGCTGTAAACTAGGACAGAGGAGTCAACAATGTGAGGAGGACAAGGCAAATGCATAGTTGTTCAGAAAAGGAATCAGCATGAACCCTAATGTCAGGTGAAAGAGAAAAGATAATATAATCCAAAGCATTGGTTTCAAAGAGTAAAGAATGGGAAGAGTCAAAAGACACAAGCAAAACAGAAAGAAATGAGCATACCTGAGAAATCATATCCAAAGAAAGATTGTAAGGTTGAGGATTGTCCTTGACCAGTAAGGTGGTACCCAAAGCAAATCTAATGGACAAGAAGAGCTGATGAAATTTGTTGTCATCGTAGTCATTCTCAAACTGAAGTGAAAGAACATCAGCCACATAGACAGTAGGAGGAGGCCCAGCATGCCTCAGGGAACCCACAACATTCTGTACAATGACTGTAACAACCACAACAGTAAAAACAGGTCCTATGTTTGTAGCATCTTCACTCACACAGGACAAAGTAAAAGTCACTGTCACTTGAGAATTCCTTGTGATAAATAATGCTTTTGAAACAAAAGCTAAGTTAAAATAAAAACATAAGTTTTGTTAGTGATTGCAAATCTCAATAAATTGAACAAAAGCAAGAAAAAGTTTCATGACCTTTCAAGACAATGCAGAGTGACATTATTTTGAGTGCAAGTGTTTAAGGGCAGTTAGTGCATGTGGAAGTTGTGTCAGCCTCCTATTGGTGGAGGACTATGGTTGCTTGATGATGTCATCATGCACTAGTGCAGTTCATATTAACCACATGAATTTTAGGTGGGAGTTAGCTCAAGGATAGTGGAACAAAAATTTCATGGATATATGCATCAGGTATATAGGTAATGTGTGTGTCTGGAGGTGAGGTATCACATCAGAATAAGTATTTTGTAACCTTTGTAATCTGGCAAGTCAGTGGATATAATTTATGTATTTCTGAAAGTTATTTATTTGAGATCTTGTAGGGTGTGAGTTTCAAAAACTGAATTTAAGTTTATGTATTAATCCACTTACTGTTTTCAGTTTGTAAAGTTATTCAGTGCCCTTTCAATCTAGTGTTTCTAGAATCCTTGGTACAGACTCCTTAGCAGTCTTCATTTAGCAGCAACTACATTGTTGTGTTATTCAAATTCCCCTTATTACCAAGTAAGACTTGGTATCTTTCTGCAGATCTTTGATGCCTTGAGTTTCAGTTTTAGATTAATCTGACTTGGAGATTTTGGCTTTTTTCAAGTATTTGTTTTGTGGTTGACCTGAATCTCTTGAGCTGCAATATGTTATTCAGGTAACATGCAATTTCTAAAACTATTGTTGTTTCCTACTTTTAAATGTGTGCATGACATGTGTGTTTAATTAGGCTGTTAATCATTAATAAATAGGGTCAAAAGCTACTTCAAATAATAACAATAAAAATGCGTGAAAGACGTCAACATGGGATAAATTCATTTTCATTAATGTATTTTTTCATTTTGTTTACACTTAGTGCAGTTAGGTGTACACTTAATATTCAGTATCAACATTTATTCTTAACTTTCTCGATACATAATTAGCAAACTTGTAGGTTATCAAATGCTCTTGAAGAAGTTGTAATAGTGAAATACTGAACTAATAAATATGCATTATTATATTATTTACATTAATAGAATTATCATTATTTAGTCATACAGGATGGCAAGTACCTCAGCTTTCATATATCGAAGGCAGAAATCCAATAGGAACGATTTTCCTTTCCGAAAAGCACCAGCAACAGCAACCACAACAACATGCTTGTCACGAATGTGTTCTTGCAGTAGTATAGATTCTAAAGACTTTTCATCAAGTTCAAATAAATGATCTTCACCAGACACCACTATCTGGACTGGTCTGCCTTTCATTTTCTCTCTGTTTCTAACCTGCAATTTCGAAATGTTACAAACAAAACCATCAAACTGACAATTTAATACTTAACTTCTTAGAACTGTTATATCTTATAAAAAAAAAAATGCAACAGTTCTATTCCATAAAAGAATGCTTTTCATTGCAAATTATGGCTTTGGCATTATTTTAGCTAGAGCCAACAGTAAGTTTAATCACAACTGTTTCGCAGAGTTATATTAAAATTTTAATTAAGATACTTTTCTATCAATGTATGTTAATAGATCAATAAACTTGACCTCAAAATTGAGTTTATAATTCATATTTTGAATATGTAAGGGCACTATGACTTCTCTTTCACAGGGTTTTTTTTTTCATCTTTGCTTATAAAGGCTTTAGATTGTTGAATACAATACTATACGTATTAACAACGACCAAACAATAAATTACACCTACTTATCTTCATGCTTTACTGAGATACCATACACTGAGACACCTCTTATCCTCTGTTTTTCAAGAAAGGTATACAATTCACTCTGACATTACTATTGAACATGTTTATAAAACAAAGAAAGAGCAATTCCTACATAAATCATACGATCATCTGTTTTATCTTAGAAGTAAAAGCTAATACTTTGCCAAAAGAGCTTGATGTGTTTGGATTGAAGATATTGCTTGGAAAAGTAATTAAATTTTTTAACCTATTTATAGGTTAATTACAAAACTAAATATATTATGTTAGTTTTTTGTTCATTCTAATTAATTTAGTGTATTTGTTGTGTTACAAAATGTGTATTTGAAAACAACATGAATTATTTTTGAAAAACCAACAAAGTGGGGAAAAAAAAGGCTTATCGAACCACACATCCAAATGAAAAAAAAGGCCTCCAGGCTAAATAAGTAAGAGAAACATTTCTTGGGTTTTGTGTATTTTTTATTTATGATCATATATATTTTTAATGTAAAAATTAGAAACTTGTTACGTTAAATGACAAAAATTAATTAGAAAAAACTTTCTCCTTGAGCAATGGACATGGGACAGGCAGTGCATGATTCAAGTTGATAACTCAATATTCCATTTCCTGTAACTTACATTAAGCCTCTAACAGGTGAGTTACTGCTTTGTTACACTAGTTAGACATGGTTCAAAGAGTAATAAAACGAAATTAAATTAAAACAGATGTAAACTGTTACGAGCTTGAGGCTCTTTGAAATAAATATTTGTAACTATCTTTTGCAATCTGCAATTATTCTACAAAAAAATAAAAGTTTGTTTTTTACTTCATATCTTTAAAGTTTCGGTACTCTTGATTCTGCTACAGTTAGTGTTAAGATGGAGAACATAATACAAAATTCTTACCAAAAGAAAAAAAAAAACTTAATCAAATAAAACATGAAACTGAGATGAAAAGAAATATTTTTATTCTTAACATGAAAATTATCTTTTATTCAGACTGACTCAATAAATGTTTCATAAATTCAAAGACAAATGTGCTTTTTTTTTGCATACAACAAACTTGTAATGTTTACTAAAAGCTTCCAAGTTTTGTGAAGATACTTTAGTTCGTATTTTTCAACTTTTCATTTTACCCATTGCTGATTTTACTACAGTTAGTGTTATGGTATAGAAAATAATATATTGTTACGTATCTGCTCATTTGTTAATTTCCAGTATAAATTCTTTCCGAGGAACTTCAGCAATACAATTCCTTTCTTAATTAAAACTAGTTTATTCTTTCTTGATACAACTTTTCAGTACACAGAATTTCCACAGTCACTTTAAACTTAACAACCTT